GCTTTTAATTTTCAGATATTCCAATTTTAAGAAGAATACTTTTTAAGAAGAACACTTTTTCCATTATTCAGTTGATGAAAATTTCATGCATGATTATCAGTCAAAAATTTTATTTTCACTTGATACTTCTGTCTGTGTTTGACAAAAAAGTGTTTCTTTTGATATTAATTTTTAGGAAAATGTTTGTTGTATTGAGCTGTGAATTGATGAATGCCAAATTTTTTCTTGAAATTTTATTCATTTTGCAATGTGTTTTGTTTTCACTTAAAAGTAAAACTTGTTTTGTCAACTAGAATTTTAACGAAACGAGAAATTTCTTGCCGGATTAATGTTAATTGTTAAAAAGTCATATTTAAATACAACACTAATTTTAATAACATTGCATATTGTTTATGTTCAGTTTTTGTGCTAATCTGTGTTCAAATTCAAACTTAGAACGTATCAAGAATTGAGCTTTTGAAAAATTACAAAATAACTAATACTAATATCTTTTTCTTTCTTTTTACTTAATTTTTCAAATTTTTACATCAAAATTCAAAACTATGGAAAAAAAATTGTTACTTATTTTTGATGTTAATTATTGTATATTTTATATTTTTCATGTATTTACTTACTAGACAATTTTATTGCGAAAATTTCAGCAAAATACATTGGAAAATAATGAAATTATTACTTTTGGCTTTAATCATTTATTGATAAAAATTGACAGATGCCTCAATATTCTTTAGAACATTTTTAAATTTTACTAATAACATCTATAAATCAATAGAACTTTTGTATATACTTTCCATCCATCTAATTGAAATTTACGTTGTTATACTTAGTGAATAAATTAAGCTGAATAAAAGTTTTTCCATCGTTTTCGTCATCTCAACAAATTATTCATTTCTGCAAAATCTGTTCTTATTTTTTTTCACACCTAGCAATACTGTATATCAATTTACGTCATTGTACGAAAAAAAAAAAGTAAAAATATTTTTTGAAGCCGAAGAATCAGAAGATACGAATTTCATATGCTTTCATATGGAATATTCGTAAATAGAACACTTATGTGTTTCCAATGTCAACAAAGTTTTACCAATTTTACTCCCTCAAAATTGTTTTATTTTTTTTCGGCTTTTTGTTCTGAATTCTCATTTTGTTAAGTGAGTTCATTTGGTTTTGTACTTTTCAAATGCATTAGTAACTTTGCTATTTGTTTGTATAATAATTAAAAGCTTTGTTCACAGAGTGATTCAAAAATTTGATGAAGCAATGATTTATAATATTATACCAACTTTAGCTGTCATCGCTGCTAATTTTGTTCTATATACTTTTTTTTTTTTCATTTTCTGATAATTTATATAGACAGTACTTCACAAATCTAATTATTGCTAGTTTCAAGTTTTTCATCAAATGAATTTATCATTACTTCAACTTAATCAAAACAATTTTAATCCATTCAAAGAAAGTGAGCTAAAAACTGCTATCTTTATTTTCATTTAATAATAAAAAATAGCTTTATTCATTAAAAAATTTGACCTAAAAAGTATGTAACACTTTTATAAAAAAGCCAAGTCATAATTTTAAATAGAAAATTTGACAAGATTTATTAAGCAGTTACAAGTGTAAGACTTCAGTTTTTATTATCTTCAGTCCATTGTTAAAAACATAATAAAATGGATCCATAAAAATTAATGAGGAAAATAGGAATTCTTTTTTCTTGTTTTTGTAAAGGGAAATTATTTTATTTTAATCTACACTATTCTTGAAAAAAGTGTAAGCAACCATTTTTTATTATTTTTGGCTTAGAGTAATGTTATTAATATTTATTGATGAGTAATGCATTGTAGTAAGCAAATATAAATCATAAATTACATTTTATCTCTTATTTTTTATACTTAAAAAAAAACTAAGTGCACATTTGGCTTACCACCAGAACAATTATATATACTTTTTTCTGCTGGCCAGCATTTTAGTTGATTGTTCTCAAAATAGACAAAAAAAATCGTGAACTTGAACACAAAATAATACAATACTGAAATAATTATGCTTATAAATGATTTCAAATATATTTCAATTTTCAAAAGCAATTAAAGTAATCTTTTACAATGTAAGAGAAAAAATTCAAGAAAGTTTTTGTTTTTGTTTTGTTTTGTTTTGCATTTTTAAATTCTTAAATTGAATTAATTCTAGAAATTATAGAAAGCTGAAAGAGAATGCAAAGACTGCCAAAGTTTTAATGACAATAATTTTTGGAATGGATATAAATAATCATTTTATTTAACCTACTGTGATATGATAATTTATAAGATAAACACATCACACATAAAAATTATCAGACATTACAAAAAGAAAAAATGATTCGTTCAAATAAATGACACTTAAAATGCTATCAGCCAGATGCATTTATAGAAAATTTAATGGTATGAATGAACACGTGTTTTTATTGCTTGAATGAAATGCCAGCTCTCTTCATCGACATCTAAAGTTAAAATTAATCAAGGAAATCGATTGTTTCTCACGCAGAGTTATTTAAATTAGGGATTAAAAAGTTAAAATAAATATCATAGAATAGTTTATCGCAATTACAGCAATAACTGCTGTCCTTAAAATTATTGCTTGTAACATTAAATTATCATTTAACTTAAAGTATTTTTTTAATTTATAAGCACAAAAAAAATTTAATTAATTTTACTAATAATTGTATAATTTTTTAAATGTAAGAAGAACTTTAATAGTGTTCATATTTATAATTTGTGTTATCTTTTTTGCTAAAAATACTGAGCCAAAATATATCATAACATCAAAAAATGAATCACTGATGGTTTTTCAGATTGTTTAACTAACTGAAGAGACATTTGTCGTAATCTTCGTGAGATTTAAAAAAAATCCGTTTATGATAACTTCTACTTCCATCAATCTAAAATTATACTAAATTAATCATAGACTGCTTTTTTGAAAAGTTGAGTACCACACTAAAATAAATGTAAATTTCAAACAAAAGTGGTCGTTTATATTAAAAACTATTTGAATTTTTGTAGAACTATTTAGACTAATATTATCTCGATAAAATGAAAAATGTCACTACAAATAAATTGTGTACAATAATAGATTAAAAAGTATTTACAGTAAGAGTATTTAAATTTAACTTCCATTTAAATTGTAAGTAAAATTGTTGTACAAAATCTAGAAAATAAATTGTGAGTGCATTCTCCTGTCAATTTTTTTTTTCATTATATATTAAAATGAATTGAGTAGAAAACGACATTAAGTGTTCATGAAAATGTACAATGCTACTTTGTCATGATCAACTTCTTTAAATAAAATTTTAGCTATTTTTTGAAAAGAAAATAACAAACATATAAAAATGTTAGCAGAGCAGTATTATTTGTGTAACATTTTTGCTTGGTGGTTCAGTATTCAAAAAAATAATTAAATAAATGATTAAATAAATAAATAGACAAATAAATAAGGAAATACATAAGTATAAATGAATAAATAAATAAATATAAATACAAATATGTAAAGCAGAATGCAAAAAAATATTTATTCATTTATATAGATAGCTTTTTTTTTTAAATATTTATTTACCATTTCTTATGCACAGTTTTTTTTCTCTCAACTTTTTCGGCATTGAAACTTTTTACATTTTTAGCAAAGAAATAAGAAGATAAATAAATGGACAAAGGAGTGGTCCGTTACATTACTTTTGTTGCAAATTTCATCGCATTTACGTATTCACTTATCGTAATTGTTTCTGATTGAAAATAATGCTTTGAATACTTTTCTTTTCCGCAAATTCTTAGGAGTATACAATAAGAAAAAAATTTTCAAAAATTCATACTTTACATCAAATATTCATAATTGTCATTAACATTAACATATTCAGTTTGGCTGCTTAAAAATGACTTTGTGAAACAAAAATCAAAAAGATATAATTAATAAATTGTAGCGATTTTTCAAAAGGTAGGTGAAAACAATATAAATTTTTTAGACTTGTAAGCTGATTTTATAATTAAGCGTAAACAGCAAAAAAGCACCAAAATGATATGCATTGCTAAAATAAACATTCTACATGAAAACATGATTTAATAAGTAAAAATTATATCATTACAATAATGACAATGAAATCTTGAATACAATGTTGAACGCCTTTTTACATGTAGTACGGTTTAATTAGAATTACAATTAAGTCAAATGCAACAAAGATATCATTTTCATTTAAGTTATAAACCATTCAATTGAGAGGAACTCTGGGTGTGAGACATGCATTTATGAAAATATATTTATTATAGTGCACAAAGAGAAAAAGAAATATCAGATTCACAAAATCTTGGAAAAATAATTTTAGGTAATAATTATGAGAGATTATAGATGAATAATGAGTGGTAATATCATCTGTCCACAGAAAATAGTCGATCCATGAGCTATAAAAATGACATCGGTCATCACTGATGCAAAAATATGATGTCTCATATTGATGTTTGATATAGACGAAGGAGTAACGCAGTATGTAATTATCCTAATATGATGACTGTTGTTTATATATTTATGTATTATATTTGCATCTGATCTAACCTCACTGACACGTTTACGTTAGTCGTTAAATTAAAGTTTATGGAAATTAAATTAAATTAAAAAATTTGAAAATACGTAGTAAAGCAAATATCAGCACAGAATGCTTCGTTTAAATTTTTTGATTAGGTATTTGTTTAGAATCAACGTGGATGAATATATTTACTGAAATGATTCTTAAAAATTATTTCATCGTCTTTAATTGGCTAGTTTTAGATGATTCATGCAATTTCTTGTTTTTGCGTCTTAGAAGAAAGTTAGTTTGATCAATTAATTTACTGTTAGAAATCACTTATTTCTGTTATCATTATGTTGTTGCTACTGTTAATATCTTTACAAACTACTTGTTCGAATACAGTAACTGAAGTGGTATCTTGAAATGAAATATTTATTATTATTATTATTATTTGTTTTTTTATTGATCTTAAGTTTATTGCAGTTTGATGTATTCGCTACCTTCACTATTTTTAACACTTTTGCTGATTGGTTTTATTCAAGCAGACTGGTTTGATGATATTGTAAGTGGTATACATGGTCAAATAACTTCGGGTGCAGATTATCTTAAAGATAAAGCTGCACCAGCAGTCCGTAATACCTTTAACAATGCCAAAGATAAGCTGAAAGATCCAAAAACTCATCAACGTGTTCGAGATTGGCTCAGACATGTTAGACAAATTTCATTCCCTTTTTTTTAAGTAAAAAAAAACGATGAAACTTGCTATTCAATATTTATTCTATTTCTTTCCCATCTCTATGTCATAATATTTTGAAAACTACTTATGATACTTTATAGAGTAGTGAAATAATAGTCTTCTGTATTCCCAATTTCTAAATTTGACACAAAATTCATAACTTGCATTTTTTTTTGTCACAAGTAGTAGAATAACTCTAAAGACAGTATCCACCAGCAGATTCAACGAAAGCAGATAAAAATTAGCAAAAATCTTTCATTTACATTTTCCAAAATTTCAGTCAAAAATTTAGTTGCTACGAGGCAAGGACTAAAAATTGTTATAAGAAAAACATTACTTAAAACTTATTTTAAAAAATTTTATCGGTAAATTTATCAAATTGCACATTAATCACAAGTTTTTTTTTTGCACTAAAATTAGTACAAGTGCTTTTTGATGACTTCACAGATTAAAACTTTATCATTTCTTGCTTTCTGATTTGGAAAATACAATTCATCGTTGTTATAAAAATTGCTAATAATAATTTTGCTGCACTTGTAATTTTAGGAAGCTTTGCCGGCAATAAAAGCAAAAGTTGATGCTGTGGTTGCATTTTTGAAACGAGAAGTGATACCAGAATTGCAGGATATCAAACGTGCATACGATATTGCAGCCAAAAGTGATAATAAAAAGTCAAGATCATAACCAATAGTTAAACCATCCCATAATATTATTCATAGCTTGTTGTGAAAAGTAATTACGAATAGATCGTTTATTAATTTTTATTGGTACTTAATTTTTGTTTTCGAATTACTGAGCAAACATGATGAGAAATTACTTTCACAATTAAATTGTAATTAAATTGTCTGAAAGTATATGTATAGTAAATATGCATATATTTAATATATATATATA